TAGTACTAGTTAGTTATTTTTTACTTAGTAAGTGTCTTATTTTATTATATATATATATATATATATATATATATATATATCAGCTAACAGAATTACTCTGGTTGAGGTGCTGAATTTTTTCTTAAATGCAGAAACTTGTTGGTATTCATGTCTGTTACGATAATCTTGTCAGGTAACAAAAGATATCTTAATGCTATTGTACATTCATGGGTTAAGGAGCAGTGTCTTGTATTGTGTATTATTTGTATATTATTTCATACTGTTATTTGTGTGCTTACATTTTTTTATTTGTCAAAAGTGGTGATCCTCATGTTATCAAAGTACAATGAACTCAAATGTTTGATATTGAAAAGAACTGTGGTAGTTGAAGTTTTTAATCATGTTAGTATGCTTCTACTACTACTAAATTTATTGTTTCATAACCTCTCCTCTTCCCTCGGTGGACTTTTATTTATCCATAATCTTGTTCCTATGCTGTAAATCGCACCATTTTTTTGAAAAAATTTCAATGCTCCTAACATGTTCATTTTTTATCAAAATGGGATTGAACATAACCTAGTGGTTAGTCTACTGGACTATGGATCCAAGATTCCAAACTTTGCATCCCATTCCTAAAAAAAATATGCTGTGCACTAGGGGGTTGTGGGTGCATTATAAAAATGACAGTCAAATCCTACTATTTGATTTGATTAGCCCAAGAGTTGGTGATGGATGCTGTTGACTAGCTGTCTTCCCCCTAGTCTATCAGTCCAAAATTGGCAATGCCTAATGCAAATAGCCGTAATGTAGCTTTGTAATGAATATCTGAAATAAAACAAACCTTTATTAATTTTTTTGTCAGAAATATTGAAAAGTTCAGTAAAATCAGTTTTGTTTAAAATTTAATAATGCATCAATAAGTAAACAAAACTAATTTCATGAAATGGAATTCAAAATATTAACTATTGTTTGTGTTGGAGTTAAAACCTAAAGCCTTGAATTTCTACTAAAAAAAGAAAAGTAATATTTTTTTACCTCATTTTGTTCTTTTAAATATGAGTATGGCTACATCAGAAACATCATTATATTGTAAAAAAGAATTTGTTTTGATATTTGGTTTATCAAGAATGTGGAAAATACTTCATAATTTTTTTTTCATCAGAACTAAAAACAAAATGTAGTAGACAGTATATAATGTTAAGAATAAAAAGTAGTATAGCAAATTTTAAATGGAATTTTTAAAGCAAACAGTTTATGAAAGTTGTAACTTTGGTCAAAGTGAAGAAAGAAAAAGAAATGGTAAGTTTGTTATACTATGTTCTCGCATGTAGCTCAAAGTTCCTGTGGTATCACATAAAAGAATGTGTAATTTTGAAGTGACATAATCTAAAGAATGTATATAGATCGGCTCACTTTTACAATCCACAAAATGTTTTAAGACAGAATTATTTGTTTCCTTCAAAACTTGTATGTTTTAAAGTCTTTTTTTTTCACATATAATCATCAGCTACTGTGTCACTTGAACTGTGATCTTTACTTCTGAACAAATGTATATGCTTGTTGACTTTTTTGGGATTTGGGTATGGATGTAGGATCTTGATATTTATTTTGGTAAATTAAGGATATATAAATGTGTCTATTGCCTACACAAGTGGGTGTTAGCCTCTGTACAAAATAAAGGCATTGAGTTAATTACAGTTTTTATCCTTTTTTTGTATTAAAATTGTAGAATAAACTTCAAGTCAAAAAGTGAATCATAAAATATAGATTTTTCTCCTTAGCTAAAATATAACAATAGATAAATATAGGTTTTATAATCATCATAATGACTGTTATTGTTTGTTATTTTGATTTAAGTGAATGTATGTGTCTTTATAAATATTTAAAAGACAAATTATTTTTATTATCAGTTCCTGCATTAAGGTAACAAACAAGCCTTAGGCATTTTAAATTAAATTTAATGCCTTCTAATTGAACAAGAGGACAGAGTATGTTGTTTTTAATATATTCTGTGATAGATCTTCCAGACTGAGAGAGCACAACAATTATATTCACAACACAAGAACATTATTTCTCCCACTGTGCATACATTACTGGTAGTCATCCCTAAAGCAAAATGAAGAGGATATATTCAAAAGGTAGGACAAGTGGTTAAGATAATGTCCACTATCTACACAGTGTATTCCAACTATGTATACTGCAGCTACCTTTTTCAGTGCATGTGATGACAAAGGGGAATGACCCAGGACAATGTGTAACTTGGACAACAGCAGTTTAGTCATATTTCATAACTAATTCTCAAGTGTTAAACCAAAAATGCACTTATATATATATATATATATGTGTGTGTGTGTGTGTGTGTGTGTGAAAAAGATTCACCTGTCTGAACTAAAAGAGAAAGAAATACTGAGTAGATAGTACAGGCTAAAATCTTTCCTTCACCATTTGCTTTCCAGATGTCTGTATTTTTAAATTTTAGAATCCAATGAAATTTTAATTAAAAACGGAAACACTTTACCTATGAAACACAGGAAAACACACAGATTCTCATGCACAACCATTTAACAATGGTGCAAATCAGTGATAAAAAATATAAGATTATATACAACATCATATTAATATATAATAAAACTTCTTAAGAAGGAACATACAAGTGATGCATGTCCAATTAACCACCACTGAGGTTTCTCTTTAGTACTATGGATGTAACCAGCAATGAAATGTGGCAGATGTTATAGCCTTCAGAGTGTGTGTGGTCATCATAAGTTGTGACTGTCAGGAAGAAGAAGGGAACCCTAAGGACATAGTTGGAATTTCTCTGTCAGTTTGTGAGAAGAGAACTGGCCACAACTTCTAACCAAACAAGAAGTCTTGGTTTTGTGTTGTATTAACAATGCCTGAGTCAAATTTCTCCAAGATTGTTGACTCATTATTTGCTCTCACTAAAGTGGATGCACATTTTGAATGGAGAGAGGAGTGTGAACAAGCATTCCTGTCCATAAAGAATATCTCAGTGGAAACTCTCATGCTGGCATATCCATGATAGGACTATGAGTTCTTGATAGATCTGATGCCAACTATAGTGAAATCAGAACAATGTTATCTCAGTCACAGAATAATGATGGAAGAAATGTTTGCAGTTTGGATCTTTGTCAAACGCTATTGACACTAATTGTATGGTAGAAAATTAACCCTTCAAGTGGACCATGTGTTTCTGAAATGTATTAAGGACTTAAAAAGTTAAGAAGAAATGATAGCAAGTTGCATTAAAAGATTGCAAGAGTCTGACTTAGCATGATGCAAGGACTAGAGGCAACCAAGGTGTTACATGCATTTGTACAAATGTGAGACAGTGGTTTTAATGGCTGCATTTGAGTCAAGCCATTGAGTACTTGTGTCAGCAATGCATAGTGTGTTTGTGCCACAGGATTACTGATTCTCCTCTACAGCTAATATCCTTGGATATCACTGGTCCTTTCCAGGAGATTGAATGAGGTAATCAGCATGTGCTGGTTATCAGCCATGGCATAGTGGCTTATAGAATGGCACTAAATGGGCTGGGACTTATCCAAAGGTCAGTACTTCATCACAGTCCATAAGTGATTTGTTGGCAAAGTATTGAATAGCCCAATTTAGTGCACCTAAAACATTCATACAGATCAGAGAGCTAACTTCAATAGCCAATTGTGCAAAGTGTTAGGTGTGAGGAAGATGTGCACTTCACCTTATCATCCCCAGTCTGTTGATATGATAGAGTAGGTAATACAAACTGTCAAGCACATACAGAGTTTGTTGATCCTGGCCACTCCAATTGGGAAGAACACTTGCTGTATGTCATGATTGTATACCTAACAATAGAACACAAATCAACTGTTTGTTCTTTGGTTAGGAAGTTTTGCTCCCTGTGGATGTGATGTATGGTTCTCCACCCCCAAGCCAAGTGTACCACAGTTTCCACAAGAATGTGGAGTGGCTAAGGTTTGCATTGGTGATGTGCATGAGCTTGTATGCCAACAGCTACAAAAGACAAACATACAGCAGAAGAAATATTATGACAAAACTGTCCTGGAACGTAAGTTCTAGTGTGGAGACTGGGTATTGTTTTGGTATGCGCCAATTACATGGAAACAGCTTGGATGGGTCAATATCTAGTAATCTGACAGATTGGTACATTGACATATGAGATACGGTAGTCAAATGAAATGCATAGGGCACATTGACAAGCTTTGACTACGTTACTGATGAACCTCACGCACTGACTTACCAGGAATTGGAAGTAGACCAATAGGTCGGAGGATGAGAAAAGTACAGTTTCATATCGTCTAAGCTCAGCTGAAGTGAAGGAACATACTGAAAGTACTTATCTTGCTGTGCAAGATGAGTCAGTTGTAGAAGCATCTGATGAGGGGCTTTATAGCTTTAGTAGTTGATGAACCACCAGTGCCAACCTTCTGATTGTTATAGCTGAGATTGACTGCCAGGCCAGCACCTAGACTTATTTGGTCAATAACTGAAATGAAGTAGCATTCCAAGCTATTGAATAATGTTTGTTGTACAACGTATGCACTACATTGTGTGATTTTACCTTAATTATCTTTAGAATTAGAATGTTTAGTTGGTTGCAAAATTGACTGCACTAAAAGGGTATTGTGACTTATCTCCTTCGGAGCTATTGAGCAAAGTTTCTATGTGAGATTTTCACAGGATATCAGATGATAATTGATAAAACATTAGAGTTTCACTGCTCATAGATAGCAGAATGTTATAGCTCATAGCTATTAAGACATAGAAAGTGAAAGAGGCTTTTGTAGGTAAAGATGTACAAGCCACGGGTAGTCTGTCTATGGCCACTAATGTAGGTGTTAATGTAC